CCACATATTCTCATTATTTTTTGTTTAAAGTTGTTTTTGTTTTTACAGTATAACATTTTATGAGTTTTAAAAAAAAAACGAATATAATTATGGAACTGGAGAGCCGCATTTTGACATGAAAGGAGCCGCAGATCGCCGACCCCTGTTCTAGAATCTCGCCCCATAGTTCCTAAAGTCGTGTCCTCTGTAGTTTGTTAGTACATGTCGGTCGTTGCCGTTCACCTTTCCACGATTAGGCTGGCCTGATGTTTAAATGTGTCGCGTCTACTGTGTTACGTCGTTTATTTGTCCTTCCTTACAGTATCGTCTCAGTCATCTCCTAGTCTGGTGTACTGTGTTTGTTAGGCTCATGACGTCGTTGGTTCAGTATTATGCAGGGGGGGGGGGGGGGGGGAGGGGGGGGGGGAGGGAGTAATACCTATGCCAGGGGTCGGCAACCTGCGGCTCGCGAGCCGCATGCGGCTCTTTTGATATCAAGATGCGGCTCTCCAGCTCCTTGCACAGATACTAATAATGTTAATAAAAAAATTAAATATTTGAAATAAAAGAATGTTAGTGGCTCTTTAAAACCAGGGATATTTTTACAAATTGTAACTTTTGGCTCTTCCGCTCCAAAAGGTTGCCGACCCCTGACCTATGCAGTTTTATTTCTTGTCCCTGAATGGGATCCAAATTTTCAAAAACGATGAGAGATTGTTTGTAGCGTTAATGAAGAGTAAGAGATCTTACTTATACCAAATAACAAAACTTAATAATATGCTTTATATGTATTAAATATAAGATAAGATTAATTTTTGTATTTAAATATCATATTATAATTTCATTTAAAACTATATGTAAATATTTTTTAAAAATATAAATATATATTATTAATTAGTTGATATTTCTTATTAGACAGTGTGTTTGCTTAGTTGGTTTATTTAACTTTAAAAGTTAACTCCCTTGAATAGTAATTTGTTTAGGTTGTTTATACTTTATACTAAGGGTCGGCAATCTTTTGAGCCGGAAGAGCCAAAAGTTCCAGTTTACAAAATTTCCCAGTTTTTAAAGAGCCACTAACATCATTTTTTTCCAATGATGTGGTATTTAATAACGATTAGGGAAATAAACTTGAATTTTTATTTCAAATAAATAGCTTTAAATATGAACTAATATTAATTAATATAAAAACATTTTTAGCACAAAAACTGTTTTAGCTAGCTCTGCTAGGATTAAGTTAGTTATCAAATATTATAACTATAGGACAATCCCAAATCCACTTTGAAGACAATAACTTTTTTTTTCTTTCTTTACGTACACCTCTGGCTCAGGAGGTGTCTCCCACAGCCAGGCAGGCCTCAACTCGGCAAACTCCGACTAACTAACTGGCTTGGGTATCGGTTTGATTACTGTAGTGGTTGCTTATGTCCTCCGGTTCTTACAGGGCTTATCTTCCTCCCTACTCATACCCCACAGTCCAGTACCTGGCTCAACCGTAGGAGGCTAGTAAATAAATTACTTCGTTTCTCAGGTCAATTTAATGCACACTGACTGGCAGAGGAATGCTTTCTAAATAAAATAACATTATCCAATGTAACGATATTTGAAAAAGTCGGCACTTGAGCAGTAGCAAGCATATAATAGTCGCCACGGGGCTGTCCACAGCACGGCTATAATGCTGAGCCTGGTGGCCAAGCGGCTGTCTGCTGTCTGTATACGCTCTACTCCACCTATTCTCACTGTTCTCTGATCAGTTTTTTAATCCTGTTTAAATTTGTTTTTTTTTTACTGTATAATATTCTTTATGAGTATTGAAAATTAAATTATATAACTATTAATATTTGTGCAAGGAGCTGGAGAGCCGCATCTTGACATCAAAAGAGCCGCATGCGGCTTGCAAGCCGCATGTTGCCGACCCGTGGTCTAACACAGTTACCGTGTTTGATGTTTTTGAAAGGCGTCCCTTTATATCGGGGATCCAAAATTTTAATGTATAATCTCGCCAAGATAACAATTAAATAAAGGGTCATCAAAATTGAATAGAAGTATGTTGTTATAAAGCTAACGTTTTTGTACTTTCAAACAAAAGATACAGTCAAGTATTCCATACGTAAAATATATTGTTTTCACAAGATTACATAGTTAATAAAAAATATTTGTTATAATTATTACGTAATAAAATTTATGGCGTTTATTGTGTTTATCAAGCATTTCTTAGTTGCACTTAGTTAATTTACCTATTCTTGTGAAAGTTATTTCCCTTGAATAAAATTTTGGTATTTGGATTTTCAAATGGGAGATAGTTCGTTGCTTAACTTAACATTGATTTCAAATTCCCGCACCTTAGGTTGACCGCTTACATATAAATACAACTTTAAGTTATTATTTGCTATTGTAAAAATAATACAGAGCTTAAGTTCTAAACAAAATAGTTTGATAGGTTTTTTAGCTTTATAAAGTTGAAAGCAAATATATCAGTAGCCGTTGCAGATTATAATACTTAATGTAAGTAGACATACAGTCTCAGTCGTAAATGAAACATGTCTTTTCATATTTTTCACCCTCTCCTAAAGGATTCATATATAACAATTTTAGGCTGGAATCTATAACATTTATAACCTTTTATTTTTCAAAAACAAAAAACCGTTTCATAATCACACAATATAGACATTTTACAATTATAACTAAAGACACATAAGCTTAAAACAGGTAAGTTCTTTTTGGAACTCACCTTGGGAGGACTGCAGAGAGCCCAACTCTACAAGAACTTTTTTTCAGTGGGTTTTTTTCAGCCTTTTTACCCCCAGGATGGGGGGGCACTTAAAATTTTCTAAGGGGGAGGGGGGGGGGGGGCTAAGTCTGTAAGTACAAAGTAGACTCGTGGATCTAGCAACAATTTCAATAAAATGTGATTACGCTTGCAAACTGGAATTGAAGGAATTAGTACAAACTTTTGCGACGAAGGAGGCAAGTAAAATTTGATTTTGATGTCTACTTACAAACGTGTGTGCAACTGATAATAAATTAATATCACTTTAAATTAATTGTTCTCTTATACATATGTTTTAGTAATTAATTTGTGTGAAAGGGGGCGTTTTAATAACTTTTGCCTAGGGCGCTAAATAACGTGGCGCCGGCACTGACCTCACCGAGTCAACGTACACGTATATAATAACATACGTATCCTTTGCAGTGTTGGGTACTATATAACAGACACCTCTTTGTTCAAATGTTGGCAGAACTGAGATAATAAACATACATCGCCTTGGGTGTCTCAAATTCTTGCCCCTGCATGCAGGATATTCTTCTGATGATTTCTCTCAGTTGTAATCTAGGTGGTTTTTGGATAAGTACTGTAATACTAATGTGATTATCAGGCAAGATGAGATACTATAGAGGATATAATATAGCATGATTTACTGTTATTTGTTTTGTCAATTAAAAAACAAACTGTTAGAGCAGTAGTTCTTATCCTGCGTTAGACCAAATCCTTTGGATTTGGTGAGTCAGTCTCAGAGTTTGGCGGAGATCAAGACACACGACTCATTTCATTCAATATCGGATTTAGTCCATGTGGACGAAAAAACTATTAAGAAACGTTGGTGAATGCGCATTATGAAACTGGAGGCGTTCGATACCCAAAAAAAATTGAGAACCACTGATTTAGAATGCATGTTTATAGTGCAGATGATACCGAGTTCCTCTATCTCCTACCAAGTGTAGTGTTTCTTTCAGAATATTTTCTTCAAAATACCACTTGCCATTTTCTGGCAGAGAAGAGCTTTTGAAATGTCCATGCAAGCAAATTCGTTTGCCTTATCTTCAATAGTGTTGTACTTTTTCAGAGAGCCAAAACTAAACACATTATTTACACAGTGGAAGTTTAAAGACTGAGATGTTATTTTATTTTGTTTTTATTTTTAGAGTATTTAAAAGCTTTTTATTACACACATTTTTTAGTTATTTTATTTATTGCAGGAATAATAAAAGTTTTTTTACAAGCTTTTGCTCTGTTAACATTGTCTATGGCAGGGGTTCCCAACCCCGTGCCCGCGGGCGCCATGGCGCCCGCCGAACGATTCGTATGTGCCCGCCTCTCACTATTCGACAGAGACAGAATTTTTTTCATAAACATTATTGAAAGGTTGAAGGGGATGGAAATCGAAAGTCTGAGGGGAGGGGGGGGGTTGCAAATCGAAAAGGGGGTGCAAATCGAAAAGGGGGGTGCAAATCGAAAATTTTAGGGGGGGGGGGGGGTGCAAATCGAAAGTTTTGTCCCCGGGAACGGTCGCTACGCCTCTGGAAGGAGTTTGTCGATTTAAAATAGGTGGTGCCCGCCACCCTACCGATATTTTAGAATGTGCTCTAGAGTAAAAAAAAAAGGTTGGGAACCCCTGGTTTATGGGTTTGTGGCAAGTAATGTAACAGCATTTTAACCCAACTCTAATACAGATAATTCGTTTAAATTTTCCAGATACACTTTTCCTTGATGATAATTCCAAGACATATATTTTGTAATCTAATTAGACATTAGGTTAGTCATAAAAATGCAATTTAAAAATTACTATATTCAATATTGAAAGGGGAGATAACAAAACATGATACAAGCGATCAACTGACTGTCAAGGTTGAACTGTTTGTCACGGATGGTTGATTTCTTGCGTGAGCGTCGATCACCAACTAAGTAGGAACAGATAACTGTCTTTCAATGATCACAAGCTACCGGTAGGCTTACACTGGTAGAGTTTAAACGAAATTATTTTAGTCGTAACCTATTTAGTGTCAACTTCATTTAGAAGAAACAACTAAAAAGTGGAATAAGACAATTTGAAAAGAAATTGTTTTCTGTAATAAAATCGCTGGTCTCTAAAATGTGTAAAAGACCATGTAAGCGATCAAAACTTTTAACTATAAAAAACAAGTTTGTTTTATTTCTTATTGTCTGTGCATTTTTATATTTATTTTACCAATTAAAGCACGAAACATTTGGAGAAAAAATATACAAAACAAGTAATTTTTTGTGTAAATTTAATATTATGCTTCTTTTGAATTAAAAAGATAGTTTTTTTCTTGGAGCTGATCATTCCAAAGCGGGGAAATGTCCTTTTGCGCCTGAAAGTACAAAGTACAAAGTACAATAATACGATAATTTTAATATAGTTATACAGCTGAACTAACCTAGTATTTTTTAGTGTTGAGAACTTTCGTTGTAATCTATGCTTATTTGTCTATCACCACACGCTTTGAAATAATATAGAATAACTTTAAATTAAGCAAATGCAAATTAAAACACTGAATTATACTAAATATAAAGAACATTTAATCACTCTAGAGCATTTGTTCAAGAAGAAAAATGTCTATTTATATATTTAAGGTGAGTTATATATGAAATTATTATATAATGTATCATTTTTAAACTATGAAAAGAAAATACATTATTTGACAGCTCTAAATAACTTACTTATTTTTTTAATACCAAACAATCAACGTCCGCGCTACAGTGGCACTGTGGATCAAGTTTCAGGGTTGGCTCAGTTTCAAAAAATAACTGCGAATCTGTAATAATAAAACAAAGATTAATTGCATTAAAATTAACTACATTTTCTTTATAATTTTCAACTAGGCTACATTTTGATATCTTAAACAGCTTCTCAAACATTCAGTACGTTCAAGTTGACGGAAAACCAGTGGCGTAGCCAGCATTGTCTCATGGTGGGTGGGGGGGCGTTCAAATTTTTTACCGCATCATTAATGTATATATCAGAGGCGTAGCGCCCCTACCCCGCCCCCGAGGACAAACTTTTGATTTGCACCCCCCCCCCTCAAACTTTTGATTTGCCCCCCCCCCCCCCCCCGTCAGCCTCAAACTTTCGATTTTGCACCCCCCGCTCAACCTTTATGTATCTACCGAGGGGTCTATGGGGGTATTCTGACCCCCCCCCCTAACCCCCCCGCCCCTGCCTACGCCACTGCGGAAAACAGCACTTGTTTTTATTCTTTATTATTCGTTAATTCCCTACATCGCCGTTGTTACGTATATTCAGGTAAATGCAAACAATAGAAATACTTCACCTGGCTTACGAGTAAATAAACAAACATAATGTAACATGTATACACAACACTTATATAAACAAAAGTAACGAAGGACTTTGAAAAACTATAAACCTACATATTTTCCTAGCTGTAAAACAGCACTTGTTTTTCGTGGAGGAGAGAAAACATGAATCGTCGTTAGAGCATAGCTTAGGGTTGTTGGCCTCTGTTGCAGCTGTACAGTAGATAGGATCTGTTTCCACATGTGGTGTGGTGGTGATGGGGGTGGTGGTGGTTGTCGTAGTGGTAGTGGTGGACACAACTGGGCAGTTCACTTTATTGCTGCATTTACATTGGTCAAGTGTAAGTCCATCACCTTTTGTGAAAGAAATCAGAAATTAAAAACAGCCAGGAAATCGGCGTGGTCGAGTCGGTAAAGCACATGGTTGCTAAAAGTCTCGAGTTCGAACCCTCGGGCAGATGAAGCTCGTTAGCTGGGGACAGCCACTCTTCTAGGAGAGACGACTCCAAAATCAAACAACTGCTGCCTTGTAATTTGTTCTTGGTTGGACAAAGGCTATTGAAGCAAATCCAAAAAGAAAAGCAGGCTGAAATCGGAGTCAATGGCCTCAATGGCGCATAACCAGTTGACACGTAACGCTTAATTGTGTTGGAGGCGTGGTCGAGTCGGCAAAAAGCTCATGGTTGATAAATTCGAACAAAGTCTCGAGTCCAAACCAACTGGCAGATAAATCTCGATCCCCTTCAACACTAATAATTAAGCCATTCTTTTAGGAAAACTGTATTTTCCTCAAATATATAAAGAAACGGCACATGTAGATTTATTGCAATACAAAATATTTTTTCAAGAAATATGGCTAATCGCTCTATTTTTGTAGAAGTGGTTACACGTCTGACTCTATGCATGCAAGGCGAGGCGATTTGGTGCCGCGTGGAATGATAGGTTCGGATCCCGTTCAGGGTTTCTTCCAGACTTTTTTCTCCCGAAGAGATGCCTGGAAGAAACTCTGATCCCGTTGGGTTAAAATTAAAACTGCTCTGTCTTTTCTCGGACTATTTTCTGTACCTCTGTTTACCCTTGGCGTTATAATGCCAATAATTACATTTTTATGAAAGCTAAAAATAGCCCTGATGTTCGATTTGGTTAGCCATACTACGGTCAAAAACGCGAAAATAACCATAGTTATACATACATGATCGTAAAAATTGTTATTATTTATCTAAAATGCTATGTAAATAAATATAAATAATTTATTTTATGTTCAAAGTTTATTTACTACATAATATATATATATATATATATATATATATATATATATATATATATATATATATATATATATATATATATATATATATATATATATTTATAATTAAATCATAATTAAATCATCTTACTGCGTGTGTAACGATACATGCAGCACTCTGACCTTGACCCTGACCAGTAGCAGGCTGAAGGCTTACAGTTGAAATAGTCAGGGACTGCAGTCGAGCAGTAGATTGGCGTGTTGTATATCAACCCTTTGTTCAGGTCCACTTCAATCAGCTGACCACTGCTTGCATTAGGGGCTGACCACATCAGCGCGTACAGATAGAGCAGCCCAGCTTTTTGAAATGAAATCATTCTCAGTTGAAGTGTAGCAGTGATGCAAACCTTGGCTTCCGGAATGACTTGCTGTAGTTATATGACAAAATTGTCTACTATTTATACCTTTTGCTGCGACTCAAACCACGTAGTGTATGCTTGGCATGTTTGCACAAGTTATGATTTCAAATAATAGTTATTGCTTAGACTTATTTGAGGAAACTTCGGTATTGCCTTTTGCCTGGTACACATTTAAACTATAGATAGATTTCTTTAGAAATGTTTTTATAGGCTTATACTAATATTTTCCAGAATTAATTTAGTTTGAAATTAGTTCAACCTTACAAGAATTAAAAATAATCTATTTTAAACTTAACTTCCTGCTTAGATGCGATGGTCTTTGAGCATAGACATTGAAATTTCTTATTTTATTATCCTGAAAACGATTTTTTTTTCTTATTTTAAATACAAACTTTGATTTTACCTAAAATATATTATTAAATGGGGTTATCATATATATATATATATATATATATATATATATATATATATATATATATATATATATATATATATATATATATATATATATAGGATATTCATACTATTATAAAGATCAGTTTGATTTGTTCTTTATTTATGGATACAATATAAAAAAATCAATTTAATTGTGCCGCGCTAAACTTAAGAAATTATCGAAAGAAACATTATTTTTTAACCTAATTACACAACTTTTTATTTAGTTACTCTTTAAAGCAGGGCCTAAATAGTATCTATACTGCTAATGTCAATACCCACTAGCTATAAGTGGCACGATTTGATTTCATGTTTTTAAATGTTATGAATTTAGACCATTCAACCAATGGTGCATTTAAAATAGTTGTTTTTTTCTTCCTTTATTAAGCCAGTAGTTTTAAATAGCTTTAAAGACAAATCAATATGTAATTAACATTAAAATGTATAAACTTTACCTTTCTACCTAGTTTTACCAAACGTTTTAATGCATTAATTACTGTATCGTGTTTTTTCAATGTTTTAAGTTTCGCTTCCTACAAGTTACATTACACATCCCAAATAATTGTGTGTATGCAACACAAAACATCACAAAAATTTTAAAAAAAAAAACATTAAGTTTAGCGTTCATTGCCAAAAGTATTTGTTCATATCAACTAAAGATTGTACATCCGCTTTAATGTAGGCAGCTAAAAATAAAGAATGACTTGAGGTGATATTTTAATTTGTGAAGCTACCACTATGTGGTGTAACATTCATAAAATGTGACATTTTTATAAAGAATATTTTTTGACATTTTCTATAACTGCCACCAGCATTATCAAACTCCTCAAATAATGTTCATGCCTGAAAATGTAATTGTAATTATTCTCTGTTCTGCAGATTGAATAAAGAATATGAAAAAGTAATTTTTTTTTAAAGTAAGGACATTTTTTTCGCTAGTGAATGACAAGTCTTCTTTAGAAAAGGCATTCAGCTATATATAAAACGATTTGCGTGTCAAGTTTTTTTCTAATTCCTATTATAATTTAGATATTCAATCTCCTATATCGCATTCTATCCGGATGACAATCTACTCAAATTGGGATAAAATTAGATACTTCATCTATGTTTTTATTAAACCATGTTTTCATTAAATAAAATCAAAAAGAAATGTGTTAAATAGAAAGTCATGTTAGAGTGGTCATCTTTCAAATTCGTTTACACAACTATCGGGTCAAAATATGAATGATTCTAAATTAAATACTAACAAAGTCAGCTATTTATTAGATATATTCAGGTATGTTGAGATATAAAAGCATGGGTCAGAAAACCATTTTCGTTTCTTAGCTAGGACTTTAGCTGCGTGGTATACTGAGGTTTATTATGTGCTACGATAGCAGTTGTGATGGCGATGCAAGTTGGGATGGTTGTGCTGTGATTGTAGAAGTGATGGTCGTGTGTCGATGGTAGTTAAGATGGTAGTGTTTTGATAAAAGCAAGGATGTGTAGGTAGTTACTATTGGATGACTCCCTTCAGAGCTAGATTAACGGTGAAGGCTCCGGAAAAAAAATTAATACTTGTTAGAAAACAGTTATTTCTTTACAGCTTTATTAAGATACATCCGCATATGCATTTCCACTAAAACAAATTCGTGGAAAAATCTTGGTAACGAAGATTTAATAGATTTAATGCCCCAAAATTCCCCAAAATCAAGTGTTTTGAACGGACACAAACTTTGAAAATTCATAATAAATTATTTTGAAGATATGCACTTAAATTTTTTAGCTGAGTGCCCCAATCTATGGAAGAAGATTATGAATTCATTATTTATTGGGTTTAAAATGTAATATTTTATGGATGGTGGAAAACCTACGAGGGGGTTAATTTTTCAAGATCGCCGCCGTTGTCATAGTTACAAAGATTTTTCCACCAATTTCTTCAGTGGAAATGCATATGCGGATGTATCTTAATAAAGTTGTAAAGAAATAACTGTTTTTTAACGAGTATTAAAAAAGTTTTTTTTTTCACCGAAGCCTCCCCCCTTAAAATATATGCTGAAAAATAAACAACCAAAGATAGCTTTTAAGAAAAACGAGCCGACCAGCGGCGTATCATATGCCGCTATTTAGTTGTTTTATTTTCTACTTTTCAGTAATTCATAGTTTGTGAGTTCGACAGTACCAATGCTGCCACTGAAAATGTTTGCTTTAAAACACTATCAGTAGGTCGTTAAGGACAATAACCCCCCCCCCCCCACCCCTCTTTCATTGTAGTGCTGACTTTGGTACAACGATGTCTAGTCTTGCTGTGTAATAAAGTTAAGATAATATTCTTGTATTTCATCTTCTGTATCTTCCTTGTTAAAGAGCTTTTGATAGTATAAACTAAACTGACGTTTTATACTGTCTAGGTCATTTGTTATATTTCCATTGTCATCTGTTATACTACATATCTTGTTACTGTTGCAGTGGATTAATTCCAAAATTGTGATATAATGCGATGGCTCTACGTTGGCTATCTTGTCTTCTAGCCATGGGTACCCGTTTCACGTGAATTATAGGCATATATATATTTGTAGTGTTATACTTGTTTAGAAAAAAAAAAATTTAAAAAGTAGTTAATGGTCAAAACACAATGTGCTTTACTACACGTTGAACGATATTAGTGACAAAGCAAAGAAATAACTAAAAAGCTAAAAATCCGACACAATTAAAATAACATAGGCCACCGATACCAATTAGAAAAAATTAAAACCAAATTAGATCTATATACATTGCTAGATAAATGGCCCGTTGAAGGAGAAATACCAGGCGCTAGGTTGATAGTGTTGTCTTTTTTCTCTAAACCGAAACCAAAATCACCACCTCAACTTCAAATTTAACCGGAAAATGTCATCGAAAAAGGATTTGTATCCAGAATCGGCATTTTAACCGGATTAATATTGATCTACACGAAGTTATAGCACTGTAGTTCTAATGCTAGTTCTAATGTTAGTTTTCTGTAAAGTAAGGTGTCAATATTTTTTTTATCTGTTGCTTGTGTCATGAGTTTAGTCCCTAGTTGTGACACAATGAGTAACCAACATATACGTTAGTTGTGACACAATGAGTAACCAATCTATATGTAAGTTGTGACACAATGAGTAACCAACATATACGTTAGTTGTGACACAATGAGTAACCAACATATAAGTTAGTTGTCACACGATGAGTAACCAACATATACGTTAGTTGTGACACAATGAGTAACCAACATATACGTTAGTTGTGACACAATGAGTAACCAACATATACGTTAGTTGTCACACGATGAGTAACCAACATATGAGGTAGTTGTGACACAATGAGTAACCAACATATGAGGTAGTTGCGACACAATGAGTAACCAACATATACGTTAGTTGTCACACGATGAGTAACCAACATATGAGGTAGTTGTGACACAATGAGTAACCAACATATGAGGTAGTTGTGACACAATGAGTAACCAACATATGAGGTAGTTGTGACACAATGAGTAACCAACATATACGTTAGTTGTGACACAACGAGTAACCAACATATACGTTAGTTGTGACACAATGAGTAACCAACATATGAGGTAGTTGTGACACAATGAGTAACCAACATATACGTTAGTTGTCACACGATGAGTAACCAACATATGAGGTAGTTGTGAAACAATGAGTAACCAACATATGAGGTAGTTGTGACACAATGAGTAACCAACATATGAGGTAGTTGTGACACAATGAGTAACCAACATATGAGGTAGTTGTGACACAACGAGTAACCAACATATACGTTAGTTGTGACACGATGAGTAACCAACATATAAGTTAGTTGTGACACGATGAGTAACCAACATATAAGTTAGTTGTGACACGATGAGTAACCAACATATAAGTTAGTTGTGACACGATGAGTAACCAACATATAAGTTAGTTGTGACACGATGAGTAACCAACATATAAGTTAGTTGTGACACGATGAGTAACCAACATATAAGTTAGTTGTGACACGATGGTTAGACAATCATTGAGGTAGGTATGACACAATGGGTTAGCACCCATTGCGTTAGTCACTAAAAGTTGAATTTTCAAGCATTGCGTTAGTGCCACAATTTTAACCCCCCCCCCCCCCCACACCCCATCCCCCCTTATCACTTTGAGAACCCATGCATTTCTGTATAAAGTTTATAACTAACAAAACCATGACTCGAATACCAACAGCTGTTGTATTATCCGCCACCAACAATCAGACACACAATTTATCTTCACAGCAGGCTGTGTCTAGATTAGAACATGAATTAATTAGTATAATTAAACACAATCAGTTCAACGGCAGAATAATAATAATACTTAACACTGTGAAGCTGAGAGTTTTCCTGTAAGATCCATATTCATTTAACTAACACCATTAGCCCTTACTTTCTGTGTACTAATAGATAAATGATATCACAGAAATCTGCTGGATCCATGTATATTTAACTAACTCAATTAGCCCTTACTTTCTGTGTACTAATAGAGAAATGATATCACAGAAATCTGCTGGATCCATGTACATTTAACTAACACCATTAGCACTTACTTTCTGTGTACTAATAGAGAAATAATATCACAGAAATCTGCTACCAGTGACAATCTATTTAACAAGTTTCAAGGGTCATTGACATATGTTAATTAATTGTTTATTCTCTAAGTCGCTTGTAGATTAGGAATGCTTAGTATCTTAGAAGTTTTCCTAGTATTCTTTTCCTAAGAATAATAATGTAATGCTCTAACACCTTACCTTTCTACGGGTCTACAACAAATTCCCGAAAGACACTTGCCCGAATGGACACTTGCCCGAATGCCGTTTTCTAGTATGGACACTTGCCCGAATGGAAACTTGCCCGAATGGGACGAATGCCCGAACGGAACAAATGCCCGAATGCACACTTGCCCGAATGCACACTTGCCCGAATCGACACCTACCCGAACGGGACAAATGCCCGAATGGACACCTGCCCGAATGCGACAAATGCCCGAATGGACACCTGCCCGAATGCGACAAATGCCCGAAAGCCTCTTGTCTGAAAACGTCCAGCCCCCCCCCCCCCCCTTTATAAATTACCTCTAGTGCTGATCCTCTATATGTCATGGTCAGAGAAATATAAACTCTACTGCATCTGCACCATGGACTGTTTGGTATAAACCAAAAAAGCTTAAATTTATTAGTTTGAAAAGCAAAAACCATATGCCAACATAAGAAATTAAAACCATGTTATTATAGAAATTTTGAATTTTCTATTTTTGAATATGTTCCTATTTTCTCTATTTAACGCTTATAAAACAGTTTGAGAACCTGTAAGGAAATGCATCTAATTTAATTACATTGATCTAATTTCATACGCAGGAGTCGTTAGCAACAGCTCTACTCTAAAACATCTGGCTTATATTTCCATGCTCTTTCTTTCATGTAACGATTTAACTATATTTAGCAATGTGCATAAAATTTAAACGTAACATTATTATAGAACGATGTAATAACTAAGTCAAATAAAAAATATTTTTGTTATGACTAACGTACGTATCGTGTTTCTAGTCCAGCTGCGATCACTTTTGTTCAAATGTTCGTGTTTGTGCGCGATGATGATTTTAAATTATCACGTGAAATAATTATGTTATGTGAAATAATAGTTATTATTTTTTTTCTCCTGGTGTAAATTATGTTGTATTTTATGTACCGATTGGGTCGATGCGTGAATTTACAGGTAAATGCTTCACTTTACAATATGCTCATGTTATGTCATACTATTTTAATGAATTGTTAAAAGCTGATTCGATACCTTTCTTTTAATTGTCTCTTTTAATTTTTTTATCTTGAAACTTCTGCAAGGAAGATTCGATACTTTTCTTTTAATTATTTCTTTTATTTTTTTTTTATCTTGAAACTTCTGTATGAAGATTCGATACTTTTCTTTTAATTATTTATTTTATTTTTTCCAACTTGAAACTTCTGTAAGGAAGATTCGATACTTTTATTTTAATTGTCTCTTTTAATTTTTTCATCTTGTAACTTCTGTAAGGAACATTTGATACCTTTCTTTTAATTATTTCTTTTGATCCTTCCTCTTGAAACTTCTGGAAGGAAGATCCCAGATTTTACCTGAACGTCATTGCTGTCGTCCAAATGTCACTCAGCGTCATCGGGTTATTAGGTGCGTTGATATCCGTCGGTGTGACGTCATCCAGACGCATGCGGTCGTCAACGAGTGTTTACCTTACATTCTTAGGTAATCTTTACCCTATCTTACATTTTAGGTAATCTTTACCACATCTTACATTTTTAGGTAATCTTTCCCCCATCTTACATTTTTAGGTAATCTTTCCCCCATCTTATATTCTTAGGTAATCTTTCCCCATCTTAAATTCTTATGTAATCTTTACCCTATCTTACACTCTTAGGTAATCTTTACCCTATCTTGCATTCTTAGGTAATCTTTAAATCATCTTACATTCTATAGTAATCTTTACTCCACCTTACATTCTTAGGTAATCTTTCCCCTATCTTACATTATTAGGTAATCTTTCCCCCACCTTACATTCTTAGGTAACCTTTACCCCCACCTTATTTCTTAGGTAATCTTTCCCTTACCTTAAATTTTTAGGAAATCTTTCCCCATCTTACATTCTTAGGAAATCTTTACCACATCTTACATTTTTAGGTAATCTTTACCCCATCCTACATTCTTAGGTAATCTTTACCCCATACTACATTCTTAGGTAATCTTTACTCCATGTTACATTCTTAGGAAATCTTTACCTCATCTTACATTCTTAAGTAATCTTTACCCCCACAATACATTTTTGGTAATCTTTACCCCTATCTTACATTATTAGGAAATCTTTACCTCTACCTTACATTCTTAGCTAATCTTTACCCCCACTTTACATTCTTAGTTTATCTTTACCCCCCTCCCACCTCGTTTTACGTTCTAAGGTAATATCCCCCCCCCCCTTAACTTACATTCTTAGGTAATCGTTATCACTACAAAACATTCTTAGGTAAAATACTTGTACATAATACAAGGTTTCTCATTTTCATTTTAATAAACTTGAGTACTTAATATTTAATTAAATTGCAATTTGAAATCTTGGGAATGGTTAGGTGCGGCTGCGTATTGCAAAACAAAATTCTTTATTTATTTTTTATTTATTTATTTTTTTTTTTTTTTTTTTTTTTTTTTTTTTTTTTTTTTTTTTTTTTGCTTCAGACATGTAATTTACAGCGTCAGTTGTGTGTGTTTGCTTTAGTATTACAGTTTTCACCATCGGCTTGTGAGGACTGATACAGATTTACTTGTAGCCTACTTTCATTAAACAAAATTCTTTAGTTGTTTTATTTAAATTGCTTAGTGTCCGAGATTGGTGCTTATTGCAAACTGTCTTGAATCGAGAATCTTTTTTAAAAAATAAATAAATTGTTAAATAAAGCTAACAGTATTCTATTTTAAATAATGTACCAAAAATAAATTTTAAAAACGTATTTTCTAAAATCCTTATACATTTGTTTTCAATAAACGTATTATCAAGGTTGAAACTTAATAGCAGCTAATATTTTTCATTTTTAATGTGCCAACGATAATTTCTATTTGTCAAAAGCGGATGGATAAAACGGTTTAGGATTCACTCCCTTGATTTTTTTATTTGTATACATGGGAAGTAATTTATACAGTTCAAATTCAATAATGTAATTCATTGGTATACTATATGTTTTGCCTCTGATTTGCTAACCGCTAATTCATCTTAAATGTTAACACCTTTATTCCTCCAGGTGTATATGACGGCTTGTTCATGATATCATCCATGTTGACGTCATCATTCCGTCTGACTGGCATCGTCGTCATCTGGCTGTCCAGCGTCTGTAACTGTGTCTGGTTCTTTTGTCGTTTTACTTCCGCTTACGTCATCATCTCCGTCACAGTGGAGAGGACCCTGTCCATAACAAAGCCGTTCCTTATGGAAAAATACAGGTGCGCTTGTTGATTTGTTTTTCTTTTTTTTTAAATCTATTTGTTTGAATGATGAACTGAAAGTTGCGCAACGGAAAACAGCGCAATGGAAAACGGGAAACTGCGCACAAAAAAGAGCGCAATGACGTTTTTGTTTTCTTAAATCGAGCATTTAACGACACTTTTAAATAATGACTACATGTACATTGTAGCATGATAAAACATATTTCAACGAAATTAGGCCAAATTAAAGTGTATTAGTTTAATTCGTTACGAAATTTTCTGTTTGAGCAGTTGTTTTTTTCCGTCTGCGCAGTTTTCCGATTGCCATTCGCAACCTACTCCTTCCACAGTCAACACACCGCACAATCTATCAATGCCCTAATGTTTACATTGATAATTTTAAAGTGTGTACTTTTTCAAAATCCCCGACGTTTTGACGTACTTCTTTAAATCCCTCCATCAGAAAGACGCGGTTCGCCCTCAAGGTCAGCCTGGTGTTCCTTGCGCTAGGAGTCCTGGTCATCCTGCCCCAGATGGTGGACGAGTTCACCTACGTCACGCACGACGGCGGATGTGACGTAGACAACCAGACCCAGGCGACCCACCTGAGCAGCGTGTACACCCTGTACGTGACCGTGACCTTGAACTTTGTCCTGCCCTTCATGGTCGTCCTGGCCATGAATGTGTGGTTCGCCTGGACGCTGTTCGCCTTAAGGCGATCAAACACTCGCCAGTGCTCGCTCCCGGCGGAAAATGGTCAGATTTTTTTAAAAACATTTCCGTTATAAGGTACCAGATCCTTGATATTCGGTCACTTATTATTAGTCAAGAAAGCAAAGTTGTATTTATTTTTAAACGTTATTTAAAAAGTAAAACCTTTTTTTTTTCAATTTTAATCTAGTACGTTGGTGCCTGTGATTTTTGATTAGGATAATGGTAAAAATTAATATATTAATAATAGCTGCGTGGAGTCATACAGAGCTTGTAGGATTAAGGAATTAAAATGATCTTACTCGTAATAGTTTTTGGAAAGATATTTGACCGTATTTAATGTTGATAGCATCAAATGTATCAAATCGAAACGGAATGGACGAGTTCCTTTACAACTAGAGCTGTATGGTATTTTTTAAAGACAGTATCATTTACAATTTACCAAACCATTCGTTTAATGCTGACAATAATGGGTTTTACTTATTATCTCATCTTGAAATTGTTTCAATATATTGTAAACAATTTTTTTTTTAGCTAAGCACCAGCTTGCTTTATTTGCTCAGTTTAATGCCTTTAAAAGATTGTTATTATAAAGATTTTCTTTTAAATAATTACTGTATGCATATACAATAATTTGGTTATTTCATACGAATCCCTTTTAAAAAAAAATGTTTTTCACCGATATATTTTCTTAACCTAATAACCCAGCCAACAAGTAAAATAAATTATTATTCAAGGCCATCTCACGTCTAGAAACGGTTACAAACGTCACCATCTAGTGTAAACTTCCCGTGACTTGGACGAGAATCTCGCGAGATTGTGTACACTCGCTAGCGTCTCACGGCTCGTTTGTTTAAGGAGTATCAAATGTACTGTAGTGAGATCCAGAGGCGAGCCCTTCGATCAAATAGGGGGCTTAGTATTTTTACTTTCTCGTAAATACGAAGTATAAAGAAAGTATAGTAATCATGCAAAAAACATAATTATGTAATCTTGTCCGTATGTCTGTGTGTGTATGTGTGTGTGTGTGTGTCTGTCTGTCTGTGTCTGTCTGTGTGTGTATCTGTGTGTCCGTAAACACGATAACTTGAATACCTTTATAGCTAGGTTGATGAAATTTCATATATAAGTATTATATCAAATTTGTAGATCCATATCAACTTTTGAGCGATTTCCGATTTATTTTTATTATGCTTTTTTTTGCATTAGAGGACATGTTTGCCATCACAATTAAGTATTACGTACCTGCATGTTAGGCGCCATTGCCTGTTTACTTATTTTAGATTTACTTTTCTTTTGAGATTCGTTTCCATAACCTATGTCAACCCAAGCACAACTTCAACCAGCAGTTGTTTGAGTATTTAGTTTTCCTCTCCTAGATGTGTTGATGTCCTCAGCTAACGATCCTCATCTGCCCTGATGTACGGGATCCGAACTGTGAACATTCGTGATAGCGGTTGTACGCTCCGTCACACGACCACGCCCAGTAATAATTGTCGCCCTTTACTAACTCTACCTCTTGCATGCCACAGTATTATAAAATACCCAAAAAATGCATAGTTCCTGTAGTGTAAATAACTGAAGGGGGGTGGGACCAATAAATATAAATATAAAACATTGGTTATCTGGTTGCAATTCTTAGGCTGCTCAAATGTTTATCATGTCATGTCATGTTTGCCTGTCGTCCCTACTGGGACATAGACCGCTGACAAGAGCTTTCCAGACGTCTCTGTCCAGGGCTAGTTTCTCCAACTGTCCCCAGGTGTATCCAATCTTCTTGGTGTCTTCTTCCAGGTCACGTCTCCAGGTCTTTCTTGGTCTGCCTCTCTTCCTCCTGCCTTGTGGATTCCAGGTGAGGGCATGTCTTGTTATGCTGGATACAAGCTTCCTGAGTGTGTGGCCAATCCATTTCCATTTTCTCTGGAGGATCTCTACTTCCACTGGCAGTTGAATTGTCCGTTGCCATAGAACATCTCAAATGTTTATATGTGAAGTAAAATAGACTTGGAAGACTCGAGTTCGAATCCGGGTTCAAGTCAGTAGAACGTCCCTGAGTCCACACAACTCTGATGGGTACCTAATTCATGTTAAGGAAAGTTATGGTGGTTGGGCATGTGCTGACCACACTATCCCTTTATATGGGTCACAGAAACAAATAAACTCTACTTCATCAGCCTAAAATTAAGCTACGTTATAACGTATAGGGAGCAAACGACGTTTGTATTAAAACAGCCAAGAGTACTAGCACTTTTGATGGAAGATTTCAAACGTACTACTAGGTGATCTTAGAATCGACCAATTATTTGCTAGAGGCATTGAGTCATAAAATGGTACTGTTAAGGTTGTGATCAATAAACATCTGGCCCCTAGCCATGGAAGTAGATATTGTCTCTTTCCTACTCCCATGGAGAGTACATGTACCGATGGGGCGTGGCCTGGTGCTGGTTGATCCAATTAGTGACGTGCTGTAGGTGTCAATCTTTCATGTGTTTAGTTGGACCCAAACATGTTCAAATTCTTATACATAGGCTGAGGAAAAGCATATGCTATAACGCACACTATATAAAATGATTAGATTCACAGGCTTAGTTGTTGCACTTATGGTTAAAACTGTGTTATTTTGTCATGTGTTCATTCATATTATTTATTATAATTCCCTACAATTACACTTAAGAACTATAGCAATTAACAATAAGCCATTGAAATTTAAACCTAAATCCAAAGAAAATTCTAACAATGCCCTAGAAGTAATACAGTAACCGGACATTATAACCATATTGTTTTACACCCACTACACCCCCCCCCCTCACACACACACACTCTTAACGCTTTATTCATGAAAGCCCGTTGTTTCACATACAATCAGCATAAACGAGTTATAATACCGCCCTTGAATACACTATAACATACAATATAATATAATAATACACAATTTCAGTAAAATAATGACCCTAGTATGCTAGTAATAACACGGTAAGCTGAATACAAAGACTAATTATTTCTTGCCCGCCAAGAATCGTTCCACAGTTCCGGGCTAACCAGGGTAATTAAAGCAGGTCTACCAAATACATCACGTGATATTGTTTACTTATCAGGTGTAACCCAGACAAAAATGTCACGTTTACCTGTAAGTCGAGATGTCCCTGGTAATGTCGGTCAAATGGGTAAAATATCCGGGAATGAGAATTTGTATCAACACCGTCAATGTCAAATCACTATTGTTGTATTTTAGCCAATGGGAGCGTAGCCTTCATGTACCCCTACATTTCAGAGGTTCTAAAACTTACATTCTTAGAGTGCTTTAAAGACACACAATTGTATATATATATATATATATATATATATATATATATATATATATATATATATATATATATATCAGGGGCGTAGCGAAGGGGGGGGGGGGGGGGGGGCGGGGGGTGCTGACCGCACCGGGTGACACCATTTAGGGGGGTGACACCAAGGCAAAAAATAGCAAAATTTACAGATAAACACTTGAGGGGGGTGCAAATCTAAAGTTTGAAGGGGGGGTGCAAATCGAAAACTTGAGGGGGGGGGTGCAAATCGAAAGTTTGATGGGGGGGGGGTGCAAATCGAAAACTTGAAAGTTTGTCCCCGAGAAGGATCGCTACGCCTCTGGGAGGTGACACCATTAAGTGCCGCACCGGGTGACACCCGACCTTGCTACGCCACTGATATATATATATATATATATATATATATATATATATATATATATATATATATATATATATATATATATATATATATATATATATATATATATTAGCAAAGGTTGAAAAAGTGAAAATAGCTCTCCGTAATAGTCAACACAACTAGTTCTTTTCTTGTTTTACCTGTAGCCTTATTTTGTAACTTGTCACAGAAGAATTAGGCACTATAACTTTCTACACAAAACTGTTATAATTACATTTTTACATTGTTAATGGTAGATAACCATTTTAGCTTATTTACTTTCTCCTGAACTACGCGACACGAGCTCCAATTTTTAGTTCTTAATATTATGCTTTTAATCAGCTAGAGCAGGGGTCTCCAAAATTTTCAGCCTGAGGGCCTCATTAACTATCAAATTTCAGCTCGGGGGCCAGTTTCTTCCAGGCATGTCTTTGATTTTTCTGGGCAAAGTTCCTCAGCCATTACCAACAAATGTTTTTTCCGTGGACAAAAATATCTCCGCGGGCCGGATGAGAAGACCTCGCGGGCCGCATCCGGCCCGCGGGCCGTAGTTTGGAGACCCCCTTTAACAGTCTCACTGCATGCTTAGGATTACGGTTAGAGTAAGGTAATAAAGTACGGTTTGGTTTAATGTAAGGGCTATGTTGAATAAAGCATAATGTAACCCTCACTGAGACCAATTATAACGTGTAATAAACATCCGCAATCACAATCAAGTACCCGCACTCAAATTAATAATTTTAAAACAGACGAACTTTTACTGGCCAGAAAAATAAATTAGAAGTACATTGTCAACATTATTTTCTTAGTAATGTGTATCTCTCAATAATAAACACAAGAGCTATCTCTTTATTTACGACTCGGGCGCTACAGTTTGTATCAACAAAAACAGTAAACCAGCCAAGATGGCGGATTTTACATCGTGAAAACTATATTTGTTTTTAAATTGTAACTGATATTTATGTTCTAAGTTACACAACTGCGTGGGGCTAAAAATTATCGTTATACTTGGACGTTAACCCTGAGACAGAGGCGTAGCGAGGTGGGGGGGGGGGGGACATATGTCCCCGGGCGCCGACCTTAAGGGGGGGGGTGCGCCAAATTGAACGTTTGAGGGGGGTGCAAATGAAAAGTTCCAGAGAGGGTGCAAATCGAAAGTTTGAGGGGGGGTTGCAAATGAAAAGTTCGAGGGGGGTGCAAATCGAAAGTTTGTCCCCGGGCGCCGGGAAGGGTCGCTACGCCTCTGCCCTCAGAGTACCGTGTTAAGTAAACACAGGACCAGGGAGATGGGGACACATAACTTTTGATCTTTGCAAACCTTGGGGTTGTTTAGATAGACTCTAACGGCACGGTTAGCCTTGAGATGTTTGTTAACTGCTGGCTTAGCCGTACAATGCCTTAGCTTTCGGACTAGATATTTAATCGTTGTGTATCGAACTGTTAGGTGTTTTGGTCAGAGCTGTACCATGTTTCTTTCAAGATTGTTTCTGCTGGGTGAAGGGGGGATCATTTGAAATCCCGGATGGGGGGGGGGGGGACACTGGTTATAGTAAATATTTTTCTTTATAATTTTTTTTTCATAGGTGAAAGGGGTGAACGTACTTCAGGAGTCAGCGCCCCATCCTCATCCCTCAATGAATGACTGAAAGAAAATCCTTTCTTGTACAAATTTTAATTTAAATAATAAGCTATACCACAAAGTAAAGGTTAAAAGCATAAGTACATATCAATATAGAAATGACTATTTAGGCCCACGATGTGATTTATCTATCAGCTGCTGAGGAAATAGATTTTGTTTTGGTAATTTCAAAACGTCATTGCCGTAAACTTTACGTAATCCTAGAGGAGGATAAAGGGCTGTTTTTATGGCGTGTATTTAAACATTCAAAAGTCTAGGCATCAGAAACAGATCAAGCTTGCGTGCGTTCATTAAAATGAAACTGGCAAAAGTGACGGGGCTTAATTTTTCGTCCTTGTACTTTTGCATAAGTGGCGCGCCTCATTTAATTAAAAATAATAAAGTTTCTTTTTTCAGTCTTTGTAGAATAAGAGAAAAAGTACTTTATACTCCTGTATAAAGCCGATGCACGCACAATATTTTTTATAGATAGAACAAACAGTAATTCACGACAGTAAATACCTCTGTGCAAAGCTAGGAAATTATTTCATCCTTCTATAACTTCAACAATATTTTGATAGATGGATCTGATATAAATTAGAGTACACAATACTGTACTTTTATGCAAAACTAACCTCAAATGAGAAGAGTAAACAAGAAAAACTATTTTGTTACACTGTAACTTCTTCAATGTTTTGATAGAATAAACTAACCTCAAATGAGAAGAGTAAACAAGAAAAACTATTTTGTTACACTGTAACTTCTTCAATGTTTTGATAGAATAAACTAACCTCAAATGAGAAGAGTAAACAAGAAAAACTATTTTGTTACACTGTAACTTCTTCAACGTTTTTATGGTTTGAACTAACGGAAGTTGACGACAGTAACAACAAACTATTTTCCTGCTCCCCTAGGGACCACGCCCCTGCCGTCACGTGATGAGGGTCTCATCAGGCTGACAGTTGGTCTCACCTGCTGGTATACCGTCTGCTGGCTCGTGCCTGGGACCTATTACATCATACGTCTTCCTACGGTAAACTTCTTATATATCTTAATACATATATTACATCATATATCTTCCTACGGTAAACTAAATATATATCTTAATACATATATTACATCATAAAGCTCATGGTTGCTAAACCGAAAAGTCTCGAGTTCAAACCTTCGGGCAGATGAGGCTCGTTAGCTGGGGACAGCCACTCTTCTAGGAGAGTCAACTCCAAAATCAAACGACTGCTACCTTGTAGTTTGTTCTTGGTTGGACAAAGGCAATGAAATCAAATCCAAAAAGAAAAGCAGGCTGAAATCGGAGTCAATGGCCTCAATGGCGCATAACCACTCACTTGACACGTATCCTTAATTGTGATGGAAGCATGGTCGAGTCGGCAAAAGCTCATGGTTGATAAATTCGAAACAGTCTCAAGTTCAAACCCTCTGGCAGACAAGGCTCGTTCTTTTTCAACATTAAAAATTAAGAGCAAAGAAGAAGAATAAATATATTACATCATACGTCTTCCAAAGGTAAACTTCATATATACCTTAATATATATTGGTTGTGGTTCGTTTTAATACATATAAGTTGAAGTGGAGTTCCAGTAGGTAAACTCAATAATAATGGAAACTAACACTAAAACTATGACTGTGTGTGAATATGAGTGTGTTCTATGTGTGTTCTATGTATGTTCTATGTGTGTTCTATGTGTGTTCTATGTGTGTTCTATGTGTGTTCTATGTGTGTTCTATGTGTGTTCTATGTCTGTTCTGTGTGTGTTCTATGTGTGTTCTATGTGTGTTCTATGTGTGTTCTATGTGTGTTCTATGTATGTTCTATTTGTCTCGATCAGGTGTTAGCTTTTAATTTTTGATGAGTTTATTCGATACACACCCTACAAAATATAAAGGCAAAATCTAACAAAATATAAAACAGCATACTCTATAAATTATATAAAACAGCACAATCTAACAAAATATAAAACAGAACAATCTAACAAAACATAAAACAGTACTTTCTAACAAAACATAAAACAGCACTATCTAACAAAATATAAAAGCACAATCCGGTAAAGCATAAAACAGCACAATCTAACTAGATATAAAACAGCACAATCTTTAAAGCATAAAATAGTACTATCTAACAAAACATAAAACAGTACTATCTAACAAAACATAAAATAGCACAATTTAAACAAAGCACAAAAAATCACTGTGCAGCAAAATATAAACCATCACAATCTAATAAACCATAAACAACGAATTCCAATGTTAGAAGCATGCGTTGAGACTGGAGATTGAGATGTATTGACACATTTTGTGGTCATTAATCTGGGAAATGGGCTGTAGAGGTAGTTATTTGAATTGTTTTATGTCCATAATATATAAATTTTTAACCAACATTGCCTAATGATTGTTCACAAAGTCAGAGGCGTCTTCGGGCGCTGACATTATGGGCGCCTAAATGGGTTAAAAAATGAAAAGCTCATTTTATCTGCAGATTTGAATTATAAATATAAAAAATATATATTGGGGGTGGGGCGCAAAATTGAAAGCTAGTCGTACGCCTCTGAACAAAGTTAGCAATTACTATTTCTTGAAGAGTGATTTGTTTTTCATTTAAAACTGATTTAATATTCTTCATTACAATGAAAACAACGTACATTTTATTATCAGATTTACAAAGCGGAGAGCACTCGAGACATTAGAGTTTCTGCCCTTGTTGACACTTTCGTCATAGCAAACGCCGCGCTGAACTCGGTCTTCTACTTCCTGTTATGGCGTCATTTCCGGTGCGCACTGGTGACGCTTTGCAAACACTACCTCAGCAAGAGCTGCGGCCATCTTTGTTGCAAACAGACAGAGCCCTCTAGCGAGCAATATACAACCACAGTTTCAACCATCACAACTTACTTATGATCTTTACTAAACGTTAAAAATAGCATTCTCGTGTTAATGTAGTTGTTTGTATTATGTTTGTTTTTTTTGTTGTTGTTTAATTAATTTATACAATGTGAAAAATGTTTATTCAAACATTTGTTTTTGTAAATGTATTAACTACTTTATACCTTTGTGTATATGTGTATAGCGGTATTGTTTAGTTAACTTTTTGTCAAGGGGTCGTTGATAAATTATTTCAAACTTAAGAGAAGTGGGGGAAGCGGTCTTATTTGTGTAAAGAAGTGTTACGACGGAGACGGGTGCGAGGTTCAGATAATGTGACGTCATACTTTTGCATTAAATAAATAGAAACCGAAATGTATCCGGTTTTTTTTTTGCGTATTACACAAAATGTTTTTAGTAAATTAAAATTTGATTAATATACTCTTTGTTAAACGAGCTCGGTCAATATTACTGAACACAAATAGCTGCCATATTGATGGGGGGGGGGGGGGTTAAAGCTAAGACATGACATAATTTCAAGCGGGAGGATCTGTCTTTTTGTGACGTAAAAGATGGGAGGGGGGTGGAGTTCGCTATCATTAAGCTAACGAAATACATAACATGAAATTGTTTTAAGCACAATACAACGCTGAAAAAATATAGTTGGTTACACTAGAATCTGCAAGTTACTTCCCATGTAGAAGTTCGAAATAAAAAGGGAAACAAGCCGCTATTACACTCCAAAAAGTTAATAAACAACTGAGACATACAAATATGAATAAAATACATATGTAATAAGTTTTGACATTAAACAATAAAAGTATTCAAACAACTCTATTTACTACAGCTACTTTTTATTACTGTTATATTTTACTATTAATATTTTAAAATAGAAAACCCGTAATATTAACAAAACTCAAAAATGAACTGATTCAAAACCGTTGAAATTTAATCAATCGGCAGGGATTGATGAGCATTGGTTTTGTCTAAAATTTTATACTTCAATCTGAGAAAGCCATAAAGATAGTAATGGAAAGATTTATCGACTTCGGCAAAGCCAGTGGCGGAAAATCAACACGGACAAATCGAAGGTTATGGGAGCAGGACAATGGGAAGGCAACGACGACTACAATACAGACAACACAGTGGTGGACAAACTAAAATTTTACGGAATAACCTATACAGGCGACAACAATATTAAAGACAATGCTACCTGGCTAAAGCTGACCGAGAAAATCGAATCAAGCCTTAAAAAATACAAAAATATTAACACAACGATTTTCGCCAGAGCCGCTATAGTTAACAGATATGTCATACCAAAAATAATATTCATGGCAACAAATTATACGATACCTAACAGATTCATAAAAGCAACGAACAAGTAAATTAGGGACTTCTTTAAAAACACAATTAGAAACATTAGCAACAAAACTTTAATACAAAGCAAGCTAAATGGCAGTAGAGGGCTACACGATATACATACAAAAATCAATGCCATTAGGTTAAAACACTTAGACAGAATTAGGATTGAACCAAACATCCACCCATTGGCTCAATACTATATAGGGCTTAAAATAAAGAATATCCTCAAAGTTAATATCATGACACCACATTATGGAGGGAACTTCTACAGAAAAATATTTAAAATATCTAAAGGAAACAGCAACATCATTGCAGAAAAGTCCAAAAATATATTGGACATCCTGGTCAAGCAACAAGCAACCCCTCTATACCATAGGAATAAATGGGCCAGAGAGTACAATACAATAGATATAAGCGACACCTTCAGAAACTTACATTAGAAGCAAATAACACCCAAAGAAAGAGAGATTAGCTATAGGTTAATATTTAACACAACCCCAATCTGACGCAATACTAAGTCAAAACAAAAACATTTAAATTACATGCCAGACCTGCAAACAAAAGACAGAAAAACAAATTTTTTTTTAGAAAGCAGTACAATTCAATTAGCAAATCAAACACTAAAGACCATCTTAAAAACAAAGAAAATATTCACTGCAAAAAAAGCTATTATTCAATGAAGACTGGAGTTGCAACATATGACGACGACAAAATGATTGCGACGGCCGTCTTTAGGTCGCCAGTCTGGTATTTACGAAATAAGATTAAGTATGACGGATTTAAATATACAGACAAAGCTGTCAATGAAATCTTTAAATCGAGACTTTAAGACTCAGTCAATACACATACAATTTCGACGGACAGCAGACAGTATAAAACGCAAACTATTAAAATAATTATGTATAAGTGACAGTATAAGGGGATATTTTCAGGTCTTCTTTTCCCACAGCACCGGTATAGTCTTTGCCCTCATTGAAAACATAATATTATTTCAATTAAAAATGTCAAATATGGCCTTGGTTTGAGACCACTACCCTACTAAAGCATGCCAAATTTGGCCTTTTGTCTGCAAACTTTTCTGCTAGGTATATAGAGACTTCTGTATAGTGTGCACGTTTTAAAGCGTCATATGTAAGACTTGTTAAAACTGGCCTTGAACTGTTTCTTTATACTTTGCTTCAAAATACGGCCTTGAACAGTTATTACACCTCTCACCCCACTGCAGTGTCACATGTCTTTTCATGACGTAGTAAGTAGAACAAGGCTTGGCCTAAAGGGGAATAATTTCCTTTCCGAAAAAGAAAAGATAACACCATCCACCACCCCTCCCCCCATTTGGTATCCAATTAAAATCTACTATGCATCTCTGTTTTTCGCTTTCTACCTTTTTATTAACATATCGTTAATATTTCCTATAAATTTCTCACGCTGTTTGCATTGTAAAAAATTCTCAACATAACTGTAAAAACAATTAAGACTATTATGGTAAAAATACCATTTTTGTATTTCTTTATTTCTAATTTCCTCCTTTTGAATTGTTGATCGACAAATTCTTTTTTAGTAATATTCACCATTTTCTTCATGTAATGATCAATTTTGTAGATGTTTGAATTATGCTACAAACTAACGCACACAAATTTGTATATGCTGATATTATTATTTCTATTTGAACACAGATAGACAGACACGACTAAGACGAAGCTTGTAAAAAGGCGTGATGTCTTTCATGGATGACCACCAATACTTTCGAACGTGTTATATATATATATATATATATATATATATATATATATA